ACGGAACAGTGTTGATGTACTAGTACAAGTGACAGTAAAGTACTAGCTGTTACCCCATTCTGTCTTCTCTTTCTAACACGTACTGGGGGAACATAGCCGGTGTTGACACAAGAACTCACAAGGTTACAACAGTGGCGACGCAGGTGAGATAACCGGTGTTGACACAGGAACACACTAGGTTACAACATAGGCATTTTAAGTTTCATTATTTTAGTATCGGCTGTCTATCTAGAAGGATAAGGAAGCAGCTTCCGGTACGGCTGAGAAAATATGAAGTCAGAAGCATAAGCAGCGCTATTATCGAGCATCTTTTTTGATTCCGGACATCGAGTTGACCCCAATAAAGCCTTCTGGTTACTTTATAAGGTCCCACAAACTACCTTAATTCTCTGACTCAGCCTCTGTCAGCAGCAGCAACAGCAGAAGCGATCGCTATCAGAGTGAGGGCGTCGATCTTGTGTACATAAAAGAAATTTCTGCCAATTCCGCACCTGGCATGGTCAACGGTCATTTAACTGCATACATTCTTCCTCATTCGTAGTGCAACCAAATTAGAACGGGGCCAACAGAACCTCCCTTATGAGACCCGCTTGGAAAATCTTGACTTGTTTCCTCTGGATTACAGACAGCCACGTGGTGACCTAATCCAGGCATTTCGCATGCTGCACGGTCAGGATTGTTGCCATGACAAATGACTTCTTTGAGCAGGCCACCACCTCTAGGCTGCGAGGACACCCTCTCAAATTACGTGTGACTGGGGCAAGACTTGACCCAAGAAAATTCTTTTCCCTAAGAGCGTAATTCAGGCATGGATTGCCCTTCCTGCTGACCTTGTTGTGTCCACATCCGTGGACACATTTAAGACAAAGCTTGACCAGCAACGCCTAAAGTGCCACCACGGCAACTGAGTTCTACGAAACCAAACATTGCCAAGTCATTTAAATGGTATAACTATATACTAGTAGTAATTTTAAGTAGTAATACTATTATTTTATCAAAATGCGTTTTCGCCGTATATAGCCGTATTTGCACTTCTCTTCTCACCATGCGAACTGCGCTCATCGCGTCTGCAGTCGCATCTACCGCACCTATGGTCCTACGCTACGCGGTCTTGTCACGGTCTTTCTCTTATCGATCTAAAAACCGACTGCTGACGACGTGGCCGGTTTCTAGGCTCTTGTCACATCAAGGGCGTATCATGGTCGAATCTCAGGTCTTGGGGACGTTCTCGTGACCCTGAGGTCTCCTCCTCGTGTGGCCCTTCGAATGTAGATATTACTCGTCATGGACCCCTGGCTGCCGCCAACATTCACAGCAGCATGCTGGTCATATCTTTCGCATACTTTTTCCCACGAGTGACAGTTTTTCCCCTAAAAACCTCAAATGGCATTATAAATTATGAGCCATGCCTTAGGAATTTTTTCATTTTGCTCTTTTTGCTCAGTTACACCTGG